ACCCCACCCCACCCCACCCCCCCACAGGGTTGTGTTAGCAGAGTGGAGAAATGGCTGCTGGAGAACTTTGGAGTCATTCTGGGGATCTGTGTTGGTGTGGCAGTGGTGGAGGTACTGTATCCAATTCTTCCTCTTTGGATTTTTATTTAAAAGTCACCCTGATAATCTGAGCACACAAACTTTTCATAAGTGGATTGCAAACACTCTGAAGTCAATCAATATTAGAGAAATTGTGTTTCCTGTGAAAATGCAGTGAGTGCTAAATGACTGCTGAAATTTGTTGAAAATTTTGAATTTAACCACTGCTGTAAAGTTAAAACAATTAGAACAGATGCTAAAATAAAAAAAACAGTTGCTAAAATTTTAAATGAGCAAAACTACTGCTGAAAGCTAAACTAAGCTAAACAGTAGCAAATTGCTAATGAGCACGTAGACAAAAATGAAGCCAGTTTTCTTGAGCAGGTTTTACAGAAGACTGTTTCTAAAGGAGTTGAAGAGAACTCTGAAACCTCTGTAGGGAGTTTTTTTTTAATAACGTTTAAATAAATCAAAAACTGAAATAGTTACAAAATCTAAAGTCTGTAACATATTGTTCCTGATCGAGACAAATATTATGTGATATGTGAATTATTTAAATAGTGCAAAGTATGTTGAAGTAATTTGATTGCAGAAAAGGTATGAAAGTATAAATGGAGGGAAAAGAAAACTGTGTGAATGAGTTATGCAGTTTATTGAATTCAGAAACTAAAACCAGATCAGTACTTTGTTTATGCAAAATGGAAGCCTTTCTAGAGGAGATTAGGCTGTAATCTGCCCCCTGCTGGTTAGACAAACTCACATGTTTGTCAGTAAAAGAGAAAATGGTTTTCCCCCAGTGAGCATGACAGCATTTATTTCATGACGGATGTGGAGGAAAAAAAGCTTGAATACAATAATTTATGTCTGCGGAGAAGTTCTGTTTGTCCTCAGATGGTTGAATTATTATTTTTAGTGGATGTTGGTCTGTTCAACTTCCTGTGACAATCTGATATTTCTGTTTCAGCTCCTGGGGATGATCCTGTCCATGTGTCTGTGCAAGAGCGTCGTCCAGGAGGATTACACCAAAGTACCAAAGTACTGAGGAGGACAGAGCCAGTCTACGACTCTCTCTCTCACACACACACACATACAGTGGTTTGCAAAAGTATTCATACCCCTTGAACTTTTCCATATTTTGTCACATTACAACCACAAACATAAATATATTTCACTGGAATTTAATG